CCCTCCAGAGCTCCCCCAGCCTATCTCAAGGCACCGTGAGCAGCCTTGTCTTTAAAAAGAAAAAGAAAAAAAAAAAAAGACAGGGCGTTTTGGAGTTTTCCCTGGCAGACAAGTGACAGAAGCACTGATGCCTTTGCTGTTCTCAATCTTGGGCACCCAGGACGTGCACTTCAGATGCATGCACCCCCAAACCCAGCACCGCTCCGGTCCAGCATCTGTGCAAGCACCAAGAGGTGCTGGCTGTGGAGAGCCGTGTCCTGTGCCAAGGGGGAAAGGGACATCCCGTGGTGGCAGCATTTCCATTGCCCTCCGTTGTCCAGCACTTCTCCCTGTGCTGTCTAAGCAGGTTATTAAATATTATAGGGATCCTTTACCAGAGGTTGGACCCCAGCCTGCTCTGGGCTTTGGTCAGGTGTCTTTTCATGATGATGATGGCTAATTAGCCTGCAAAGGATGAACATAGTGCGGGAGACAAGCATGTTGCCCAGGCATCCCTGCTCCACATCCCTGTGTGGGTGAGGTTGGCTGGCTCCCCTTCCCAAGGCTCAACTGGGGGCCCATCACTTTGGAGAAGCAGGGACCTGATGACTCTCTCCTTTGCCTGTAAAGGGTGGCTGAATCAGACAGCAATGTGCTACCTAAAATCAGGGCAGATGACTCCTTCCCCACCTACATCTCTCACTGGTGTACCCCACCACCCCACTGACTGGCACAACTACCCTCCTGCCAGCCCCCTTTTACGAGAAGTGTGACTTTCTGCAGGTCGTGCACGTTGTCTCTGACAACTGAAACCAAAAGTGGGTCTTCCAAGACACGGGCCAACATATTAAACACGTGCTCGCCCTTCCTCTTGTGTAGCATGAGCTCTGTCCTGTGCTCGCCTGTGGTCTTAGCCTGCAGAGCATTTCATGCACAGCACCACCATCAATAAAAATGCCAGCTCTGTCCAGAAAAAAAAGAAGCAGGCATCCCCTGATTTCCTGCCACACTGCTGTCATTGATGTTAAAGGCTTGAAAAGGGATCCTTACAGAGTTTGCACGTTGTGTGCAAGATATGCTGGGGTGGTGGTGGTGGTGGTGGTGTGGCACTACACTAGGGTGGAGAGATGGAGGAAACTCAGCTACTTGAATTGCAGTCTTGCATTGCAATATTTATGTAAAAAGCTTTTATTGTGAGGAAAAATAAAAATAAAAAACAGAGAGAGTATTTTGATGGCAGTGCTCAAGAAAAACCTCAAAACCATTGATTTTAGGTGTCCAAAATTCCTGTGTCCTAAGGAAATGTGTAGCAGAAGGCCCTCTCCCATCCTTACCTATAAAAAAAAAAAAAACAAAAAAAAAAACAAAAAAAAAAACAAACAAAAAAAAACAAGCAGACAATTTTGGGCCAGATCTAGCAGCTGCTTCTTGAAAGGAGTAAATCATATATTTACACACTGCCCTGCTACCCCACAAAACATGGAGAAACCGGGTCTGAAGATAGTTATTGCTTGCTGGAAATACAGAAGTAGTTCAAAGTACAAAGGAACAGCCTAAATATAGCTGTGATAAAGGGGGACAACTCCTGGGTAGCTGCACTGCTAGCTTGAATTGTAGAAATGCAGCCTGCAGCTGTAATGAGACCTCCAGCTGAGGATGCAGTTCCTGCCCTGACCAATGACTGCCTGGATGATGCTGTTCAAGCCGTCCTACAGCTCCGTGCCTCAGTTTCCCCTTCTGAAAAATGGAGCCCAGGATTCATCCCTGTCCTGCAAAGAGCTTTGAGCTCTGCTCATGCACTGATGTAAAACAGAGCTCTCAGAGGGTTTTGGTATTTTTTTCTTTTTTTTTTTTCTTCCTCCCCCTAGATGTCTGGGTCTCTTTTGTCTCATTTTACAGTCTTAATGGAGGGGTAAAATACACCTGAACTTAGCATGGTCTGGAAGGAGAAAGTCGTTCTCATTATTAAGCTGTTATTTTTATGAAGCCATAACTTACAGGCTCTCAATACTTATGTTATAGTAGTCAAAAAACAGGATGAGATCCCATAAACCATTCTTTATAGTAACCAGATGGTCATCCAGGCTGCGAAGGTATCTGACAGTGCCTATTACAGGGAAACACCTGCATGAACCTTAACCATCTCCGTGCCAGCCCCGCCAGCAGGGTGACCTGCCAAAGCTGGGTAGTGGTTTAGGAGATGCCACACTCCCCAGGCCCATTAATTGATGCTGTCCTCTTATAAGGATGTGTCACCAGCCCTGACTCCTTCCCTGTTATTTTTAATCCCTTTGCTGGTTGTGGGTAGGTGAAATATTGATCCCTTTCTCCACCCAGTAGATAACTGGGTTGAGTTTTTCTTGGCTTTCCATTTCCATTCTGCTTTTCCTTGAGAGATAACATTGAGTAAGCTCTTTGGCAAATTACCAGCTCACCGTGGACAGGATGAGACCCGCCAGGGTGCCAGGAGCTGCCAGGTTCCACCAGTCCTGCAGGTGACACCCAGTACCACCCCTCTTGGAGCCCACCTCCCATCCCATCCCATTACAGGGGACACTCGAGCTCATGTAAGTATTGTGGGGTTCCTACACATGTCACCTTGAACAGGAGAGGCTAGTGAGCAGCCTTGGGAGCGTGCCAGGTGGCTGATGGTGGAAAGATGCTCAGAAGAGGTGTAAAGCAGAGGATTTCCAAAGAAAAGCATAATCCACTCGGGCACGTGAGTCAGGTGCCAAAGCATCTACATGCCTAATAATAATTCCTAATAACAGCAGGGTCACAGCACCTAGTGCAGCAAGGAGGTGCTGCTACAGAAAGGCTTGTTTCACCTCTCCCCTAAATTATATTTTTTCTCTGTGCCCCAAAATGTGGTTTTTTTTTGGCCTGTGAAAGCAAGATCCCCTGAACCACAACAGCAACCTCTGTGGTCTCAGGGGATGCAGTGGGGTTCCTGCACTGTCCCCCAACAGCTGTGCCATGGAGGCCTCTTTATTTAAGTGCCACTGTCCTGCATGGCCCCAGTCCCCTTGGAAAAGCTTAAAAAAAAAAAAAGAAAAAAAAAATCCTTGCTCATGTGTTCTTTCCTCGGAAAGCCACATCACGCTCAGTTTCCCAGAGCATGAGTCATGCGCTGGCCTCGCCAGCATCCTGCCTCTCCCCGAGCAGCCTGCAGCAGGACAGAGGAGGGGCAAAAGGTGTTCAGCCGAGTATTTCCGAAGAAAGAGAGTTTCCAAAGAAGAGAAGAAGAATGTGTCTTGGAACAGAAGCGATTGCCACCACCACACTGATATGTTTTGTAACTCCTGACATCAGCATGCTGGAGGTGGCCACCAGCACCAAGATGTTGTGCTGAGCACCATGGTGGAGAAAGTACAGCCTCTCCATCTGCTAGCACCTTCGAGGTGGAATTACCCTTTCTCTCTAAATAATAAACACAAGAATGCAATTTATTTTTTTTGTGGTTTCGTTTGTTTGTTTGTTTTTCCCTAAAGTAACAGGCATGCTATAGTCCTAAAAGCAGACAGCTAACAACACAGGAGATTTCTGTTACAAATAGATGTTTCTACATTTTCTACAGAGTTTTTTTTTTTTTTTAATATTGTTGATGTTTATTTTTATTTTTAGGTAACAGATATACACCATGGATCCATGGATTTCTATTGTCACCCATGAGTGACTTTCCTACCTTAATTTTTTGATGGCTGGCTAGTATCTGTCCTCTGAAAATTTTGAATTGCCTTTGAAAAGGGATGTCAAAAGTCATTAGGGTTGGTCTGATTATACAGGTTTGGGAAGTTTGAAGGTCCTTTGTTTGCCATAGGGTTAAATAGATTCAAGGCTACTTCTCCATGACCTGCCTCTCCCACCTCTAACTCTTTGTGCCCTGCTTCTCCATACCCTGTGTCTCCATCCTCTACCTCTCTGTTCCCTGCCTCTCCATGCCTCGTCTCAACACAATCTCCTTCTCCATCCTCTGCTTGTCCATTCTCTGCCCCACAAGACTGCTCTCACCCACATCATTTCCACATCCTGCCCACCACACCAGCTGCCCTTCAGAAGTGTTTTCTCATGTCTCTAATCCACCACCAAAGGACGAGTTTGCATCTGCCCTCCAGAATCCCCACTGCTATTTTAAACTGAGCTTCCAGACACTTCCTGAAAATAGTTGACGGCCCATGTCCCTTCCTGAGAAATCAAGTGCTGCGAGCTATCTGGATTGGAAAGGGCAGCTACCCAGAAAGAGAGAACACTGTAAAGTGTTGAATTCCAGACTGTTCCGCTGTGATATCAAAGCATGATGGAAAAAAAATAGAGGATTGGAGGTTGCCAATGTTTCTGAGCTTAAGGCTGGTACCTATAAATAGAGGCACCCGAAATTATTCTTAGGAATTGAGTCATTAGTTCTTAATTCATGATATTTCTACTAAATCAGTGGGAGTTGTGCTATTTAGGACAGAGGCAAAAAAAAGTGGGTAGGCCTACACAAAAAAAAAAAAAAAAAAAAAAAAAAAAAAAAAAAAAAAAGCTTCAAAAAGCAATTACTAGGTCTTTCAGTCTTGAGCAATGTTTTCTTTAACAGGAAGATGTGTTCATCAGTGAGATAACTTATTCAAATCAGCTGTGCACAGCCCTTTCTGGCTAAAGAGGCACAAAATCCATGCTTAGCCTAGCCCCAGGCTTCTCCCCTTATGCAGACTGCAATGTTTTTGTTCTGTTTTGTTCTGTTTCCTTTGTTGTTTTTTTTGTGCCCAGGGGTAGCTCAGCCTTGGTGAAAGCCCTGGCCATGGTGGGATGTGTTGGTGGAAGAGGTGGTGGTCTGGGAAACCTTTGCATTGGGGTTAGAGAGGTGGTGTGGGGCCATGCTTATTGCAATGGGATGTTTGATGGCATCCCATTGCTTTTAATGGGATTTATGCACAGAACCCATGAATGAGAATGATTTTGAGCATCTCAGCATTTTCTGTTGTCCAGCAGTGAGCGTGTGTCAGCAAAAAGCACAAGTCCCAGGGGGGGATTTTTACCTTGTTTCCTGCCTTTGGCTTCTTGGCTCTGAACATGTTCAAACCATGGCTCCTCCAGGCTGAGAAGAAGGTGGGGATTTCCCTGCCCCTCTTGTGGTGCTGACTCCTGCATCTGGTCTGCAAAACTCTGTCTATTCACACAGGCAGGAAGAGGATGAGTAACTGAGCCCCAGAAGTTCTTCCTCTTGCAAATTTATGGTCCTTTCCCGGCGCGAGGGCTAAGTTCTTTCCCTGAGCAAAATTCCTAAATCAATGGCTTGATTAATAGCTGGGAAACATTTTTCCCGTGGACGCCAGGAGGATATTCACACGGCATCAGCCAAAAGAGAAGCAGAAGGCATTCAGATTTGTTTTAAACTTTATAAAGCCATCAGTTTTAAGAGGCAGCTAAATGAAACAGCCTTCCTGGGTGTCCAGTCATACAGGGGAGAGCAAAACATGAAAGAAAGGGTCTGAGATAGTCTGAAAGCCTGAGTCTCTCTTTAATTCACTGCATGCCAAAATACGTGACTAATGACCGTCTCAAATTGCATAAAGACCTGAACTAGTAGAGGTCACCTTAATTTCCTCCACCTTAACTAGTACATCTCTGATAAGCAGAGTGGGCACTAGAAGATAGGAGTAAGCCAAAACAGAGCATTCCTCATCTGAGGGTGTACAGGATGAGGGGGGGAAATCACTCAGAAATTAATATGTCTGTAGTGTGTTTCCCAGAGTGGCTCCTGTTCAGACAAGCATAACATTTGCAATTTCCCTTTAACATTTTTCACTGGGTCAGGGTTGTTGGTTTTTATTTAGGGAAAAAAAAGGAAGAAAAAAAAAAAAAAGGAAAAAAAGAAAAAAAGAAAAAAACCTGCTAACCTATTCAGAATGAGAGGCTGGGTCAGGATTGGGTTTTGGAAAGTCTGATACTGTGTGAATTTCAGGTTCATTTATAACTGTCACCAAGTTGTGGTAGGGGATGCAAGGCACAGGGACAGCAATGCTGTCTCTGCCTGGCCAGGAGAAATGAAGTTCTGTTCCTTAAGGCAGTGCGTAGCTCAAATACGGATCATCACTTTATGGGAAGTCCAGGAGGTGGGAATAATGCATGAATTTTGATGGATTTCACAGCAGTGTATGGGCACAAACTGGATCTTTCATTGGAAGTGCCCAGGTGCAGTCAGTGCATTGGTGATTTGCCTTTCAGTCAGACCAGGCCCAGTCCTCCTCCTCCTTCCCACCTGCCCCAAGACATCCATGGAAGCCCTCAGCCCTCTTAAAACCTTTCCCCTCTTAAAGCCAGGGCAGGATCTTGTCCGTCTTCATCCTGGGTACTCTGGGAGCAGAGGAATTGAAAATTTGGTGGATATTTTTGGAGGTCTGTCCTTATACTTGTACTCAAGGCCTGGTGAGCAGGAGATGCACAGATAGGGGCATTTGCACGGCATCATGACCAGACCACCACTGATTTTCCATCCTGTTGGCCACCAGGACCAGGCAGGGAGGTATCTTGCACCCAAGACACCCAGCTGACCAGCTCAACATTTGATTGAGGACAGTGAGATTTTGGCCAAGTCCTTGCAGAGACAAGGCCTTGCCCACAGCCTGAGCTACCTCAGGGTGCAACTTCCTGAACAACAGTCAAAACACCTCAGATTCAGGACTACTTCACACCAAATTAACAAGTCCAAATCCAATATAAACCTGTGCTGAGGTTCACATTGACTCAGTACCAAGATGTTTGTTCCCACAGCGGCCCAGAGCCCGGGCTTATAGTTTCTGCTCATATCACGCCCTCCAGCATGTCGTAAGAGCAGAAATTGCTCCGATAGGAAAAATGCATTCACCTCCTTTTGCTTCCCAACCCAAAACCTCTGCCAACCACCTTGGGCCACTGCCACCAGTAGGGCTGGAGAGCACGGGGCATCAGGGAGGAGACAAGTCCTGGGCTCCCTTGATGAGATCTCCATCGGCTGCAAAGGGAGACCGGGGAGACTTGCTCTCAGATGAGCAATTTAAGTGTCTGCTCTTATCAAATGAGTCGCACCCAAAATATTCAAAGGCATCCTACCAGCTGCGAACAGGCAGACTTTCCCATGAAACCTCATGTTTACTATCCGGATGCTGACACCCTACCTTTTGCATGATAGAAATCAAGGCTGCTCTTATTTTGGTGCAAGAAGTTTATCACAACTGAAGTTTTACATGGGAACGGCACAAAAGAACCAGGAATAGCATCAAACTATCTCCTGCTAAGACACAAATAATGGTCAGGGGAAAATAAGGAGAAAATATGAATACCCAGCAGCTGGAGATAACTGCACTTAATCCCCAGGGTGGTATTCCGTCTCTAGAAATTTAAGCCAGAATTTGGATTTTTTCTGCAGAAAACAATTTAATAGATTATTTGTTTCATTTCTTGGCAGTTTTTCCAGCTGAGTTGCTCTGTAATACACCCTCACATCCATTGGCCAAGGGAAAAGGAATCCTGTTGAAAGGGTAGATGAGCATGAAGAAAAAAAAAATAAAAGGCAAGGAGCAGAAATTGCAACTTGGCAGCACATGGGCAGAATAAACAAGATGAGCAGAGGACAGAATCCTTCCTGCAGTCACCTCTGCAGGGAAGGTGAGGACAAGCAGCTTAGGCTAGATGGACCTCTGCCCCAAAACATCCCTCACAAGTGATGCTACTGATCATGGCAATCTCTTTCCAGTCTCTGCATGTCTTTTTGCTCCTAGTAGGAGTTGAACTGATTTTCAGGACATGCAGAGGACCAGCAGCGTTGGTCAGGGTGCTGCAGAGCCAGCTGTGAAGGCCAAGTATTCCTGCTGTGATTCTGCTGCGTGGTGTAAGCACGCCATTTAATTCAGCTGATAAGACATAGCAGTGTGATCCACTGGGCTGAGCAGCTCCTCAAATCTGATTAGTAAAGCATGACACTAGAGATGGGCAACATTTATTGAATCAAGCAATTTGGGATGGTTAAAAATGGCCTTTCCCTGAATTAAGGACTCACAGCAGTATCTTATTTTGACTTTTTTTTTTTTTCGTCTTCTTCAAAATACACCCCAAACAACAACAACAACAAAAATACATTCAGTTTTCATTCATCCTCCCCCTCCTTTTTTTTTTTGGTAACAGAAAGAAAGAAGTTTTCTGTGGGTGAAAGACTAAATGGCTGGATGTTTGTACTGATACAGACGAAAAATGTCATAATAACAAATAGCTCTTGTCTAAAAATTGTTGAATGAAAAGATTTGCTATTTTTTTTTCATGAAAAGATCTCTATGTGGGTAAATAATTAAATGTAACAGCCCCTAACTGCTGACTAGTCTTACAACATAACTGGCTCCCAGCAGCAGGGAAGGGCACAACCTATGAATGGAGCTCATCCTGCCTTGGGCAATGCAGATGAGGGACAGCTTAGGATTCAACAGTTTTACTTGTGGGGTTCTTCAGGCTCTTTTTATCTGGGTGGTCTCCTCTGAGCGTGCTGAACCACGCTTTGCTTTCAGGAAGGCTGCCATCATTTTCTTAGGCTCAAAATGTCATTGCCACACTCTTCTGCAGGGGAGGGCTGGCGTGCAGTGTCCTGGGACTGTGCTTACTATGCCCTGGGGCTGCGCAGACCTGGACTCCCTCCACGTCTGCTCCACGTGCCCCTCATTGCATTTAGATTTTTTTTATTATTTTTTTTTCCAACAGAATAGACCCAAAAGAAGGCAAGCAAGGAACCCTGAGATGTTTTTATTTTCAGCTCCTGTAAGACCAAATGATGAGAGTACATGTGGAGTCTGTGGGACCTGCTGGAGAAATGCCCCAGGAGTTTTGGAGCTGGGTGACCTGCACTTGGTTCATGCCCACCCTTAAGGATGCCCACCACAGAGGGACTTGTCCCATCTCATGCCTGGGTTCCAATGCATTGTTGCCAGCTTGGTGCTCTGGAAAAAGCTTGTGTGTCTGTTGGGTGGGCTGCTGGGGGTCTGTGGCTTTCCTGACCAAGAGCAAAAATGCATCTCCCCCAGCTGTCAGCACCTCTGGCTGTCAGCTCCAGCTCTTCTGGCATTTGGATGTGAGGTCTGTGTCCTAGTAGGGGCCAGCCATGGCAAAAGGACACCCTGCCTTGCTTCCCCAGGCAGCAGAGGTGCTGGGATCACAGTCCCCCTGCTGCATCTCACTTCAACCAGTTCTAAGAAAGACTCAAGACAGCTGGAGCCATCCCTGCAAGGGGCTGGAGCCACCCATGCCCAATTTGCCTGCAAGGGATGTGGGCTGCATATGGGTTTTGCAGATGCCTTGTGCCCTCCGGAGCACCAAGAGCTTAGAGAAAAGGACTTGCATCCAGCAAAGACAAGCAGAAACATCCCCTTTTCCCTGTTTCCTCCTGGTCTGCAGGAAATTTATCTGTTTGCAGGTTCAAGGGGAGATCAGGGAAATTAATGGAAAAGGGTTATTAAACACATAAAACCCACATCCAGTTCAGGAAGTCCCTGAGATGCAAAAAACTGAGGCTGGGGAGCTCCAGGAGGAAGCACCACGTCCTGTCCTGCTGCTCAGGTTCCTCTAGGGCTTCTGTGCTGGGGTGCTGCAGCCACTGTGCATGCTGGCCCTCCGGACCCAAAGCATCAGTCATTCACCTTCATTTCCACCAAATTCTTCAGCCAGAGGCTGACCCCCATGCACAGCACTTTCCACAGGACAGAAATTGTCATTTTTGCTTGGGTCTTTGGAGCAAGAACCGGAGATTTTTGTATGTTAACCCATGTGGCTCCAGGGTCAAGCCCCTACTTGTGCTTGTTAAGTATGCACGTGCTTATCTATCTGTATGTGTGGCATATAATAGCACAGAAGAAATTTCTCCCAAGCTCCTTTACTGGACACTTTCAACCAGTGAACAATCTGGGGAAAAGCTGGGACAATTGGTCAATAGGTTAAAAGAGAAGGGCTTGTTTTTGTGCAACTCCAGAAGCGAAGCACAGAACAAAAACCACCAAAAGACCAAGAGCAACAATAGGGGTGTTTTCCTTCCTGTATGTTTGTTACTGTTCTTGCTGGCCATGCAAAAAAAAAAAAAAAAAAAAAAAAAAAAAAAAAAAGCCATAACAAAATCTGGCACACAGGTCACTATGTTCTTTGGGAATCAGAAATAG